CAGGGGCTTTATTGGGGACACTGGGGTTGAGGTGGAGGATCAAGTCTCAGTTGTTGGCCACGGTCTCCTCAATCCAGGGCATGACCTTGGTGACACGGGCACACACACTGGGCTTGGAGGGAGTGCAGGTCTCACTACCCCAGGACACGACGCCCACCAGGGTCCAAGCTCCATCCTTCTGGCAGACCAGGGGGCCGCCAGAGTCGCCCTATGGGAGGAGAAGGACTTGACTGCATGTTTGCAAGGGGTGGGAGGATCATTTTGTGCGCCCATCTGACTAGTCAAAGAGGTACCCAAGGGACAATTAGGAACAGGGGTGGAGTGCTGGAAACTTCCATCTGAGCAAGTGGCAGACCAGCCCCACCACCTGTGCCAGAGGCGTGTGGGGATCAACTGCAAAAAGGGCTGGGAACATACAGCACGGGGGTCCCAATGAAAGAAAACCCTGCTGGGAAGCGCCTCAAGTCTGGCTGGTGCCCCCCACTGTGACATCAGCTGGAGCTGGTCCTGGCTTCTTTGGACAGGGCGCAGGGGGAGAGCAGGTGAACCAGGGGACCAGAAGTGGCTGCCCCAGCCTATGGCAAGACAGACCACCAGGGGGCAGCGCAGAGCAGGCCCTACCTTGCATATTGCTCTGCCATTGCCCCCTGCACAGACCATGAGATCAGAGATGTTGTCGCCCCAGGACTTCACGCACTCGGCGTTGGACAGGAGGGGCAGGGTGGCCTGCTGCAGCGTGTTGGAGGCCTTGCCTGGACAACAGAGAGGCCAGGACAGGTGAGAACCCTCAGCCTCTTGCACAACCTGGGAGGAGAGGACAAGCCCCTCCTTTCATCACTATTCAGGGTGCTGAACCTGAGTCCTGTGCCTCCTTAATCCTTAGAGATCTCAGTGGTTCCCTCCTTCTGATTTCACTCCAGGTGCTCAGTGTGCTCCAGGCACAGCTGGTGAACAGTCCTGCCTGCCCAGCCTGTTCTGGGGGAAGACCAGACGGGAAGCCGGCTCTGGCCTGTGCAGAGGGTCACAGGACAGTGGAGGAGACTGTCAGCCTGGGTCAGCAACAGGGAGTGGATGCGAGGCTGGACACTCAGGGTCCTGGACACACCCTGGATACCTCTGGATACCTGAACCTCACCCAGTCTGAAAGGAGGCCCCAGTGCCAATCCCTGAGGCTTTGGGGCATTTCAACGCTGCTGGTGTCACTGTGGACAGGTGCAGGTGGTGAGTATGGCAGGGTCTACTAGGACTGAGCTGTATCTACAGAAACTGACCACTCAAGGCCATCATGGACTTGTGTGCATCATATGGGTAGGTTTTCATAAAAAGGTTTGTGAATAAAACAGCAGAAACATTTAAGAAAAAGTTCGTTTCCATAAAATCAAAGAGCAGAGCTATATGGGCCCCATATGCTGGACAGGTAGACCAGACCCACCCCCTGGGTGACAGGGCCAAGGTCACTCACCATAATAATGGGTCCTGCCCCAGCCCGTGGTGACACACAGGGACCCGGCTGTGAAGTTGTCCTGAGCCCTGGGCAGGCACACGGCGGACACGGTCTCAGAGAGGCTGGCAGGTGTGGCCAGCTTCAGCAGGGCGATGTCATTATTGGCAGTAGTGATGTCAAAACTGGGGTGATCAAACACCTGTGGTGAGGTGGGGGGTGGTGTGAGGCCTGGGGCCCACCAGGGATCTGCAGGTGTCACGAGACAAATGCCTTCCAGGTGCTGATAGAGGACAGACCAGGGGAGCCCTGGGGAGAATTTGAGCCCATCTGCACCCCCGTCTCTCTCACCCCCTGCCCAGCCCCAGCCTGGCATACCTGAGCAATCCTCAGCACCTGAGCGTTCTTCATTTTTGTTGACAAGTTAAATATTCCAGCAACAACTGTGTGATATGTGCTAGAGGAGGCGGGTGGGGTGAGGAAGGAGGTCTTGCCTGCTCCCCCAGCCCCACATTTGAAACTTCCCTGGGCCTCACCGGACTCTACAGTGGGCGGCAGTGACCACCCAGGACTCGTTGATCAGGGAGCCCCCACAGAAGTGGT